ACTGTGGAGGACTCCCCCATCTAGCCCTTTACACAGCCACACATCTCCCCATTACCTCAGCATAATTATATTTTAAAGAAAAGTCAATGTTTACATTATTTGACTCTGTGCTATTCAGAACTAAGCCATGCTTGCATTTCCTTTTCTGAATAACTGTGTTTCGTGTTACAGTTTTATTGGGGTATAATTGACATATAACAAAACGCACACATTTAAAGTGTGTAATTTGCCCTAACCAGTTTGGCTCAGTGGATAGAGCGTCGACCTGCAGACTGAAAGGTCCCAGGTTCGATTCTGGTCAAGGGCATGTACCTTGGTTGCGGACACATCCCCAGTGGGGAGTGTGCAGGAGGCAGCTGATCGATGTTTCTCTCTCACTGATGTTTCTAACTCTCTATCCCTCTACCTTCCTCTCTGTAAAAAATCAATAAACTATATTTTAAAGTGTGAAATTTGATGAGTCTTGACCTATGTACACGTCCCTGAAACGATTGCTGAAATCAAGACAGCAAGCAAAACATCACCCCCCAAACTTCCTGGTGACTCATAATTCTTCCTTTCTTTCCACCCTAGTCGTACCCCCAGGTAAATGTAGGTGAGTTTTTTTTAAATATATTTTTTATTGATTTTTTACAGAGAGGAAGGGAGAGGGATAGAGAGTTAGAAACATCGATGAGAGAGAAACATCGACCAGCTGCCTCCTGCACACCTCCTACTGGGGATGTGCCCGCAACCCAGGTACATGCCCTTGATCGGAATCGAACCTGGGACCTTTCAGTCCACAGGTCGACGCTCTATCCACTGAGCCGAACCGGTTTGGCGAGTTTTGTATCTTTCTAGAATTTTACGTAAGTGGAGTCGTATAGTAACTTATTGGCTCTTACAAATAAAGCTGCTATGAACATGTGTGTGCATCTGACTGCCACTGCCCTTGGTGGGTTTCTAGGAGTGAAAGGCTGAATAGACATAAGTCGACGTTTCTAAAGCGGGTACTACTGAGCATCCTGCCAGCTGTGTGAGTTCTACCTCCCAACACGCACACAGTCAGTGTTTTACGTGTTAGCCATGGAAGGAGTGCAGTAGCATCTCACTGTGGCGTAATTGGCATTTCCCTGATTTCTGGCATTTTTCATGTGCTTATGTACCAATTGTATATATTTTGTGAAGCATTTTGTTCAAATCTTTTGCCCATTTAAAAAATTGGGTTGTCTTCCTTATTATTGAGTTGTAAGAGTTTTTTTTTAAAAAAAATATTTTGGATACAGTTCCTCTGTCAGATATACATGTTTTGCAAGTATTTTCTCCCAGTTTGTGGCTTGCCTTTTTATTTTCTTAACAATGCCCTTCGAAGAGCAAAAGTTTGAGATTTTAATAAAATCTGATTTATTGATTTTTCCTTCTATAGTGGATGCTTCTGTAGCAGGATAAAGGAATCTTTGGAAAACCCAAGGCCATTAAGATTTTCCTCCTGTGTGTTCATCTAGAACTTTTACAGTTTTAGTTCTTAGGTAAACCACTTCAAATACATTTTTTTATGAAGATTGAAATTCATCTTTCTGCCTATGGATATGTTCAACAGTTTCAGCATCGTTTGTTTAAAGAATTAGCCTTTTCCCATTGAATTGCCTTGAGACCTTAGTTGAAATCTATTGCTCTTATAAGTATGGGTGTTTCTGGGCACTATTTTGTTCCAGCAGTGCGTTTGCCTATCTCTACTACAGCTTTAATTGTTAAAGTTATCCATCTTGTCATTGGTTTCCTAAATGTACTTAAAGTTATTTTAAAGTCCATGCTGGATATTTCCAATATTTGTATTTCTTGTGGATCTATTTCTATTCTTTGTTTTTCCTCTTTTTGGTCATTTAGTTTTCTGGTATGCCTGTGTTTTTGTTGTTGTTGTTAACCCTTACCTGAGAATATTTTTCCATTGATTTTTAGAGAGAGTACAAGGGGTGGGGGGGGGGGAGACACACAGAGAGAAATATCAATGTGAGAGAGAGACATCGATTGGCTGCCTCCTGCACTGGGGATTGAGCCCACAACCTGCACTGGAAATCAAGCCCACATCCAGGGCATGTGGCCCAACCAGGAATCAAACCATGACCTCCTGATTCATAGGTTGATGCTCAACCACTGAGCTACACTGGCTGGGCTATGCCTGGTATTTTTTATTTTATTGTATTATTCTTTCTTTAAAAATATTTTTATTGATTTCAGAGAGGAAGGGAGAGAGATAGAAACGTCAAAGATGAGAGAGAATCATTGATTGGCTGCCTCCTGCATGCCCTCAACTGGGGATCGAACCTACAACCTGGGCATGTGCCCTTGACCAGAATCAAACCTGGGATTTTTCGGTCTGCAGGACTACGCCCTATCCACTGAGCCAAACCAGCTAGGGCTGTATTATTCTTTCTTTATTAAAGTATACTTGACATATAATATGATATTATTTTCAGGTGTACAATACAGTGATTCTACCCTTATGTACCTTACAATATGATCATGGTAAGCCTATTATCATCTGTATCATACAAAGTTATATTATATTTACTTGTTTTACTTATTTTTGTTAACCCTCACCCAAGGTTATTTTTCCATTGATTTTAGATAGAGTAGAAGAGCGGGAGGAAGAGAGACATTGATTGGTTGCCTCCCGCACAGGTGCCAGGAATCCAATCTGTAACCCAGGTATGTGCTCTTGACTGGGAATTGAACCCAAGACCCTTCAGTGTGCTGGCTGAGGCTCTAACCATTGAGTTCAACAGCCAGGGCCAAAGTTATGACATTATTGATTACATTCCCTGTGCTGTACATTATATCCTGTGACATTACTTTATAACTGGAAGTTTGTACCTCTTAATCCCCTTCACTTTTTTCACCCCTTCCCCTCTTTAACCCCTTCCCCACTCCCTCCTTTGGCAACCATCAGTTTGTTTTTCGTATCTATAAGTCTGTTTGTCCATTTGTTTTCTTAGATTCAACATATAAGTGAGACCATATGGTATTTGCCTCTGAGTTATTTCATTTAGCATAATACAAGGTAGGTCCATCCATGCTATCACAAATGGCAATATTTCATTCTTTTTTTATTGCTGAATAATATTCCATTGTATCCTATATAATCTTATATAATAAAAGCCTAATATGCAAATAAACCAAAAGGCGGAACAACTGGTCGCTATGATGTGCACTGACCACCAGGGGGCAGACACTCAACAACAAGAGCTATCCCCAGCCCACAGGCCTCAGGCCAGCCAAGGCGGGTGCCAGTGGGGTCCTCCGATCGCTCCACCGGTTGCCCCACAGAGGAAGGTGACTGGTGGCAGCAGCAGGTGGTAGGGCTGGCAAGCAGGCAGCACTAGGCTGGCCAAGGCAGGTGCCAGTGGGGGTCCCCCGATAACACTGCTGGTTGCCCACAGATTGGCCCTGATTGCCATCCAGGCCTAGGGACCCTACCTGTGCACGAATTTTGTGCACTGGACCTCTAGTCTATATATATAAAACCCTAATATGCAAACAGAACGAATGGTGGAACAGTGGAACAACTGGTCGCTATGATGTGCTCTGACCACCAGGGGGCATGTACAGGACATGGCAGGCATTGGCAGCAAGCAGCAGAGCGTGAACATGGTGGGTATTGGCCGTGGTGGGATGGTGGAGCAGGTGAGTGGAGGCACCAGACCAAGGTGGGGTGCCGGTCGCTGTCACTGGGGAAAGCCTCTGGTGGTTACTGAAAACTCTTTTCTCTCATGTGCCGCGGTCCCGCCCAGTGCTCACACCCGCTGCCGGCGCTGGAGCCACCGCTTGCACCCACTGCTGGTGCCTGGCACTGGCCCCGATCACCCCAAGGGCTTCCAGCAGACAGGGGACTGGGGACCGCAGTGGGAGGGGCCAGGCAGGGGCATGGAGGATGGGCTGAGACCCACCCCTATGCCCACTGCAGCCTCGCAGCCCACAGTTACTTTCAAGGTGCATGAATTTGTGCACTGGGCCCTAGACTATAATAATATGCCTGGTATTTTGATGGATTGCTATACATTGCATGTGAAAAAGGTGGAGATAAATGGAGGCTGCTGATGGTGGTGTTTTCCACAGGTTTCTTATTGCCTTAAGAAGGAATATATCCCTTTTAGGATATGGCATGTCACTTATATCCAATTAGAAGTTAAGCAGAGGCAGAGTTGGGCTGGTCAGATTCTGGTTCATCCTCAGTTGCAGGGTGCAGACGTTGGGGAGTCCAGTGGAAAGCCTTGGGTGTTTATCAGGGCTCCTTCTCCTTGGTGGGCCCTGAACACCCCAGTTTGTCTCACAAGCACACTAGACTGCTGGGCTCTCCCCACTTCTGTGGCTT